TTTACACACCACTTCTGCAAGACTTGCACCTTCCCTTAATCCTTGACGACTAGCTTCTTTGACTTTCCTTGCAAATGGCAGAGCTTCCGGATCAATATTTTCACGTTCCTCTGTAATAAGACCCTGGGTATACAAAGCAACAAGTTCAATTATCATGCCTACAATGGAAAGGGCATCTGAAATATGGATGACAAGCTAGTATCAAGAACGTAGATCCAGCTCAACCATTCTTAAAATTCAAAGTACAACAGCAACAAGAAAAGAAGATCCTAAGAGCTCACACAAGATTATCTAGGTCAATCACAGCAGTTTTACAATACCTTACCAGCAGTGAAAGCTGTTTCATAAAACAGAAATTGTGCAAATCTAATGGACATAGATATAAAATAATAAACTTGAAGCTTATGACCACGCAGTTGAGCACTAAAATATATATAACTGGCAAGCAGGGTGGTGTTGAGTTTTTCTTACCTATGAAAATATTAGGAAACAGGAAATACAGTTTAAAAAATACAATGCATACATGATATAGAATTTGAGGCTAACAAGTACCATTTCTCACCTTAGCATCAACTACCCAGAACTGTCTTCCTGCACTTTCAAAAGCAGATTCATTATTTCCAAGCATTCTAGCCATTGTTTTCCTGGCAGCATTGAGAACCCCTATTCCTGCACTGCAGATGAGCAAAGATTATGCAAACAAGCCTAGTATATCGTATCATACACGCAAGTGCCAAGTGCCAATTCACAAATTAAATCAGTCATTTTATTTGCCCTGAAACCTTTCATTGTATTACCAGCTTCAACCAAGTCTCAAAGAGCATGACGAGTTCACAACATCTCAACTATCTGAATCAACAAAAACTAGGCATTCTTTCTTACAATGGCACCAAACAAAAAAAAGAGGCAAACTTTATACCATTTTTTGTGGGATTTGACATAGCAAATATGGCTGGTCTAGTAGAAGTTGAACCTTTGAGGGCCTCTAATACCTGCAAGAATCCACAACATCCAGTTTACATAAGCGGTAATTTATCACTTGTATAACCCTTCATGTGTGCAAAAAAATTACTACTTGCGTAAAAAAAATTGGTGATAAATTCTCATGTATCCTACCATGTATCATGTACAATAAGATTTTGTTTGAATCATAACTGGGTTAGATGGGTTTCCTACCTCCTTTGAGAACAAACCTCCAACTGCAGATAATCCAAGAAGCACATCAGGTTTCACTTCTCGCACCTGGTTAGGGAAGATCAACCAAGATGAGGACAGTAATGAAAAAGCAATAATCTTTTAAAAAGTACGGTGATTTTGTCCTAAATGATTTCACCCAGATAGCCATGGCTGCACATAGAAGATTAACTATCAAGGGAGAGTTTTACACACCACTTCTGCAAGACTTGCACCTTCCCTTAATCCTTGACGACTAGCTTCTTTGACTTTCCTTGCAAATGGCAGAGCTTCCGGATCAATATTTTCACGTTCCTCTGTAATAAGACCCTGGGTATACAAAGCAACAAGTTCAATTATCATGCCTACAATGGAAAGGGCATCTGAAATATGGATGACAAGCTAGTATCAAGAACGTAGATCCAGCTCAACCATTCTTAAAATTCAAAGTACAACAGCAACAAGAAAAGAAGATCCTAAGAGCTCACACAAGATTATCTAGGTCAATCACAGCAGTTTTACAATACCTTACCAGCAGTGAAAGCTGTTTCATAAAACAGAAATTGTGCAAATCTAATGGACATAGATATAAAATAATAAACTTGAAGCTTATGACCACGCAGTTGAGCACTAAAATATATATAACTGGCAAGCAGGGTGGTGTTGAGTTTTTCTTACCTATGAAAATATTAGGAAACAGGAAATACAGTTTAAAAAATACAATGCATACATGATATAGAATTTGAGGCTAACAAGTACCATTTCTCACCTTAGCATCAACTACCCAGAACTGTCTTCCTGCACTTTCAAAAGCAGATTCATTATTTCCAAGCATTCTAGCCATTGTTTTCCTGGCAGCATTGAGAACCCCTATTCCTGCACTGCAGATGAGCAAAGATTATGCAAACAAGCCTAGTATATCGTATCATACACGCAAGTGCCAAGTGCCATTTCACTAATTAAATCACTGTCATTTTATTTGCCCTGAAACCTTTAATTGTATTACCACCTTCAACCAAGTCTCAAAGAGCATGACAAGTTCACAACATCTCAACTATCTGAATCAACTTTCATTTTAGTTTCCATCATTCAAGGATAATTCCACCTCCTGGTCCCTGCTTGCTAGAACATTTTTCTTGTCTTGATTTTTTCATTGCAAAGAAGAGGAAGACAGTTTTTATGGAGCATTCTATGCTTTCACACAACAAATCAATGGAATGCAACTTCTGAAAATTAGATTGCTACAAAAAACAATCTTCACTTTCTGGGTGTAAATCAAGTATTAAGGTGATAAAAACTTTGGGCATTCAATGTCCAGCCTACCCCAAAGAATTTATACTTTGGTGCTGACAAGGACAAACAGGTTACCTTCCAGCACCAGCAACAACAATCTTTTGCTTCGGAAAATCAATCATAGGCCTTCCTTGTGCTCTTACAGCTCCTAAAAGACCAGCTATAGCAACACCTGCCGTTCCCTGTGTCATGGAGTGGCATCAAATCATGCAAGCAGATTAAATATTGAAATGTTGAAGCTATGAAATTTGCATACTCATAGAAGACAGCATTTGATTCATTAATTCTGCAAACTATTCACTCGTGACAATTCTATCAACAGAATAAAAAATCCACAGAAGCTAATTTTTCAAGCGGTGGTGACAAAATAAAGTCAAAAAAGGTCAATCCATGCATTGAATAAGTATGATACAGACAAGGAAACAAGCACTCAAATATTATATATGGTAGAACAAACATGTTCTTTCACCGAGCTTAGTCTAGTCAACTCATTGGAAAATCATCACAACCATATAACATATATCTGACTGCAAGTGGGGCCCAAATCAAAAACCTCATTACCACTCTTTATAAGGGTTTGTCATGAAGGTAAAAGAAAGGAATGTGTGCCGCTATAATTTTTCCATAGTTCAGTTACGTTCTAGGGAGGGGGATTTTTAAGGGAATTAACAGTTAAACCCAAAAGCCTTCTGCAAGAGGCAGGATGATAAGGAATTCTGAGGGAAAAGAACATGCGTGTGCGTGCGTGTGCGTGTGATTTTTCCTGTTCTCTCTTCCTCAAGCTTATAACCCATTTTTTCACAATTTTACTTACATCTTACTATTGGGCTCCACTAATGCATGCTTTCTGACATTTTCCATAGCTTCACATCAAATAACAATTAACTTAATACTCTTCTAAGCTCCTTGCCAAACACTCTAAAAAATTAACTTTTTACAAACTGATATGATAATTACCTTGGCAATAATCCACTTCCATGTCTAGTGTCATGCAAATTGTTCATTAAGGGAATGAAAACTTTGGGGATTATAATTATTTCCTATATGCCTTTGGTTTTCCAAACTCAATTTTCTGGCTGAAGAGTGAAAATAGACTCTTTGGTTTGAAATGCAGGACCTACATTGTGATCCTTCTGTTTTGCATATGTGCCTCTCATCAAGTCCTATGCTCATTCTATTCCATCTATTTCCTACTACGAAATTACCATAAACCTAAAACATTCTCACTTAATAACTATTTAAGGCCTTCTTATAGCCTGGGGGTTACAAAGCAGCAACGTAATCATATTTACTTACTATATTAGCAAATACCGGCCAAACAAGTAGTGTTGCAAAGTGACTGTACATTGACAATACCCCCTGTAATACACTTCAGGGGAATAAAAAGGTGCTATGTTATTGAATATAGATACTTAATTACCTGGACATCATCGTTGAACATTCTGTAGGTATTCCTATATCGCTGCAACAACTTGAACGCCCACTTACTTTGGAAATCTTCAAACTGAATAAACATAGGGCATTAGTAACTCCCAAAAATAGTGAAAAATAGAAGAGAGGGAGAGAGAAGGGTGGGCGTTGTCTAACAATGTTTGACTAGACTAACTATACATAAAAATTGAAGTTACCTGCACGATCACATGTGGCCAGCGAGTAAACACTGCCTCCATGAATTCATCAATGACTGCAATGTACTCGTCACCATCTAGACGGTGTTCTTGTAATCCCAAATCTATTGGCAAAGAATAGCACAAAGTGTTCCTTGTCATTGAGACAAATCAAACATATATAACAAATACTAATAACTGTGATGACTATACATCGGACAATGTCACAATAGGTGAACAGCTCTGTTATAAATAAAGATGCTATTTCTTGTGATGTCCTAAAAGGTCTTCAAAATGATCAAGTAGAGAGGCACACTTACACATGGGATCTTTGAGTAACTTCTCATTGTTAGTTCCAACATCAATCATGACAGGAAGCACCTAGTACAGGCAAGAAAACAACAGTAAAGTTCTATTAAAAAAATAGTCTACTTCACTACGGTACGAGGTTAAAGAAGAAATTAAGTATGGCAGAATCTAAATATAGTTAAACAAAAAATTGACTAGAGTAATTATACACATCAAGAATTCATTAGAAGACGTCATGAATCTGCAAGAAAAGAATCCAGCAATATACAATTAACTAGAAGACACACTTGCTCTCAAATTTCATAAATTTTAAGTTGTAATCAAGGTAGAAGCATTTACAATGCAAACAAGGAATATAATATTAGGTCCTATACAAATTAAATACAATCAAAATAAGCATTTACAAGGAGAAGGAAAATGTTCGAAAAAAAAAATACAAGGGAAAGGAAAAAAAATGCAAACAAATCATCTCCGTGAATATAATATTAGGTCCAACAGAAATTAAATACAGCATCATATGAATTCAGATGCCACAAGGTAAGTAATACACATCACCTCCAGTGTTAATGCTTTGTGTCACATTTTCAACATTATTTATTCCTGATGCATGGATAATTACTAGAAATTGATGAATTGACACAGCATGCTGTGATGAAAACTTGTGTCATCAATTTGGCACAACTTCAGGTTAAAGATTTGCTATCTCATACAAGTTCCATCTATACTTTAATAGCTATGTCCAAGAATTTTCTGTTCCAAACTCGGGTGTAAAGATGGTTTATTAGATGGCCGGCATGATCAAAAGATTGTCAGTTTGGTATTGGGAATACAGATGATATATGGACAAAACATATTTACTGCTTTTCTGGAACATTTATCGTACAAACAGGTAAAAAATGTTTATTCAATAGAGACATGTAAACAAGAATATACCCTTTGAGGATTTATCCCCGCAGCAGCAACATACAAATCTAGCTTCCCAATAGCAATACCTATTCCCTGAACTCCAAGATCTCCAAGACCCAATATCCTGCTTCCATCCGTAACAACAATCATGTCAACCTGTAGTCATCGAGAACAAAAGGGAAGAGTAAATAAAATCTGCAATTGATATTCTAAAGTCTAAGGTCCTGGGTATACTTCATCAAGCCATCCTGATGGCCCTGGCATGACAATCATGTGGTTATAACACAACAACCCTTCCATCTTCTTTTCTGTTTATATTCCCTCTATGCCTCCTTGCTCTCATCATCCCAATGGAATAATAATTCAAGTCACAAAGAAGTCCATTGTTAAATGCATAACTGATAAAAGCAAGATACCTGCTCAGCTGGCCAGTTGTACACCATGGACATCATTTCTCCACGGTCTTCAGCACTGAAATACATTCCCCTTGGTCTTCTAAACAAACCACTGTAATTTTGGCAAACAAGACCAACAGTTGGGGTATAAACTATGGGTGCATATTCCTCAATATTGGCAATTAGAACCTGTCAAATTTAGAAATAGTATTATAACCTAGTATATCATGGACAAAATAAAGAAGCCTACGAGGTTAGGGTGCATCATTGGCTGCCCAAAACAGTGTGATGTACAAGCGATATTTCAGCCTTCGTCCTCTGATGAATTGCATAAGGAATACACGAAAAATTAGAGTATCTGATAGAGCATAGCAGAGAAATGATTGCTAGTAGAATCCCTAGCTAATTACATGGATGATGGAGAGGAAGACCAATTGATACTCAACAAATAAACAGACACCTCTTAAACCAAGGCTGTCAACCAACTAACATCATATTGGGATGGGATGCCTCACTGTGTGCAAACCAGTTGTTAGGGGAATGACAATGAAAGAGAGAGAATACAAAGATGAAGAGCAGGGGGTTTTTGCATAAGAAAAAGGGATTTCCCCCAAGAGTTTTAGCAAAATGAAAACATCTATGTGCACATCCAACCTTTTACAATAAATCTTTCTCTTTTTTTCTCTAACACACATTGTTAACAGGTTTTTTGGCTAGTCGTCACCCAGCAACCACAAAAACAGACGTTGTCACAAAATTCTGCTGCTAGTATAACTCGTAATCGGTGTGACATGGCCAGAAGTCAGGTTTCGACATAGGAACAAAGAGCATGAAATGGAACTCAAGCATTGAACATTCAAAGCTACTGAGAATTCAGAGTCCGAAGCATGAAGCAGATAAATGAGCTAAAGCAGAAGAAATTCAATCCACGATATGCAGTGCCAAATCAAAAGGGTATAAACTACCAATCACTCCTAAACATTTTATTTAAAAAAAAAACTCAAAAAACTTAATTAAAACAACTCAAATGTAAAATTAGAAGGAAAAAAAGAGAGTAAATCACCTTGTAGTACATAGTCTCATTCCTATCATGTAATCGATTAAGTATCCGCCACTTAGCCAGCGCATATGGATCAGATGGTCCGTCTCTTGCCTGCACTTCAAGCCTCTTCAGGTCAGCCGCTGTCATTTATCAAAACAAGTGTTCGCTTAATATTCTGCTTCAGATAAAAAAAAATACTCAGATCAGCTCAAAATTAGAAAAGAAAACATACTGAAGCGTTGAATTTGCTGTTCAGAAGTCATAACATTGGGAGGGAGAAGTCCCCGTAGATCGAGACGGTCGCGTTCTGTCATAGAAAACGCTGTTCCCTTCATAAAATTAAAATAAAAAAGGTTACCAAAATTGAGATTAGAAAGGAAGGAAGAGTGAAAAATAGTTATTGAATTATTAATGATAATACCTTGTTGAACCAGGGATCGTGAAGAATATCAAGGCTCCGTTTGTGAACAATGGCAGGACGGTGGCCCTCCAATGTAGTGAAATGTCTAGTAGCCTGCATCATGGCCGCCGGATTCGTCATTCTTTGTTTGAACCGTTTGATCAGAGACGAAGACGCTCTGATCTGATTGGGAAAATTTGACATCCTTCCTTCGTAAAGATTGACGATCAGCGAACAGAGAAAAACAATAGTGACACGGCAAAGAAACGCGGTAGTGGAGTGGCAAGTGAGTGGCTGGGAGAGAAATCGAGGGAGGAAGATTTCTTTTTTTGGGGGGTTGAAAAGTCAGAGGAATCCGCGCGCTCCTTTCCTCTCTTTAATGCTTAACTAATTTGTCGCTGGACTCAAAATGTTTACCTGTCATTTTATTTTTATCGTTATTTTTATATGTATTAATTGATAGGAGTGGTCTTAAGGAGATGTCATTCTTGAAGAGACTTGTTTCCTTTTTTTTATTTTTTAAAGTTTACTTATTGTTAGTGTACTTATTGTTTTCGGTTTGGATTAAAAAAACTGTACATAACAAAATAATATTTAAATTGTAATAAATAAGATTTTACAATCTCATAAAATTAGATACAGTTATTTAATCTTGAAAAACCCTAAGCTAATTATTTTATTAGTTTGTATATTCAATTAAATTATATGAAAATCAACCCATTCATGACCTTATTTATTATATAAGTTCTCGACAAAAAAAATTAATTCAATAACTAAAAATAAAATTAAAAAATATATATTAAAATATTATTTGGAATGAGATAACTTATTAAATTATAACATAGTTGACTTAATTAACTTAAGTGAGACATGATTAGATCGTCTTCTAAAAATATTTTTAAAATAAAAAGATTTCATTTAAGATTAAATAATTGAATACATAACTTGTAAATTAACCAATTATGGGAGAGGGACGTGCAATGCCCCGCGCTCCAAGCTAAAAGACCAAAGACTGAACGATATTGTAAAGACTAGAATGGACGACCGTCAATCACCAATAGACGACGTTCATTCAAAAGGCAACCAAGTGTCGTCCCGAGCAGGGCAGGCTGCTTGGTTTTGTGAACCAGCTAGCTCTTTATATGAGCTGTCCAGTTAAAAACTTGAAGACTTGTTTTGCCCTTCAAGTGCCCGTTTGAGAATTACAGATGATCTGATACTTTTCAATGGAAAACATAAATTATGTTATTTAATATATTTTTAATTAAATAATATTTTAAAAAATAATTATCATCGAACATTCAGTAAATATTAAAATATTAAACTGTTCTAGTTAGGTGTCTGTCAAGAGGGGCGAGGAGTGGATGATGGAGTATTTTATTGGTCTTGCATTACGAATAAGAACTCGAGGATGCAAGGGGAGGACCATAAATATCTCCCTTGTCCTTTCACAATTGTAATTTTCCTTCCTTCAGACCTGGAATTTTGAGAATATTCATTTTAGTCCTTTAAAGTTTTTTGTTTTACTCCTAGAATTTTATTTGTGACGAATCAATCCTTATAGAAAGGTTTTTAGTCCTTGTAATTTTTCAAATTATAATTTAGTTATTGATATAATTTATTTTTTTCAATTGCATCTCTGAATATCAAATTGATCAAAAACAAGTCCAGTAATTTAAATCGATCGAAGTAAGACTTGAGTGGATTTAAGTGGGTATGATTATCCATTTAAAAAATAAATTGATCATAACTGGATCGTGGGTGAAACACAATTCACATCCTTTTTGACCAACCCATTTGCCACCTCAGAGGATAATTGTTAGGAAATTGAGGTTTGGGGCCGGGTTGGTCGATAACACGCAAAACATAATGTTGACCGTGGAAATCATACACAGTCCTCGAAAAGTAAGCCCACCATCGGTTAATATTGGGCCTGGAAAAAACTAGTGTAAGAAATTGGACTAAGTCCAGCATTGATTTACATTATATAGCCCAGGAGCTCATGTGATTGAAAAGCAAAGAAAGAGATTTATTTAGATTTTTATATCCACAGATATTTTAGTCAGTTTAAAATGAGATTTTTTGGGATGTCTGTAAGTATGGTAATGATTGCAATTTAAAATATTTTTGTTTGGAAATATATTAAAATATTATTTTATTTTTTAATATTATTTTTCATATAACATACTAAAATAATGTAGAAATATAAAAAAAATATTTTTTTATAAAATACAATTTCAACAGTTCTCATGTACTGTTTTCCTCTCTTCGCTTATTCATTCTCCCGACCATAATAATAGCAACAATAATAAATGTTCCTGGTGTTGTTACAGCTTTGAGGTGACACGTGTGACATGGATTTAAATGATAATGTGATAAGTGATTAATGATTTGGTGCTGGTGACAAAGAAAATATTTTAAAAGATATTTACTTACCTTTCCAACAAGATATAAAAAACAATTAATTAAATAATTAAATACCCTTTGAGAGTTTATATGTTTATTTTTTCGCCAGTGACATCATTTGTCACGTCAGCGTTAAAATGATTAACTTTGAGAATTTAAATATTTATTTATAAAAAATAATCATAATAATAACATGCCTGACCGTAAAAGTTATCAAGGTATACAACATTTCTTGCTATCTCCAATAGTAATGGAACGCGGCATCTAATCTTTGACCTTGATGGTTCCACCCGCAGCAGCAGAGCCACACCCACAGCCAGTAAACTGAAGGTTGTTGGCTAGGATATGTTTGGGACGTGGTACGAATTGAAGATATAAATTGTGTTTTATTAAATTTTAAAAAATTTATTATTTACATAAAATTTTATTTTATATTTTTAACCATTTTAATATGTTAATATTAAAAATATTTTAAAAAAATAAAAAAATATTTTTAAAACAGCTGCAGCAACTCTTAAACAAACCTGCTTCAGCCGTCACTGGATGTCAACGATGATAGTACCTCCACCGTTTCCGTTGAATAACTAGACGGGAAGAGCTTATAACTAAGCACGTAATCAACTGACTAATCATCGGCATTTTCTAAGGCAGAACAGCAGAATTAACATGCGACTTTGCTGAATAAAATGTAAGAAAACATATAGATGCCACAACGGGATGTGAATGACTTCATGATTAGGATAATCAGTTCATTAATTAACTGCTTACTTTCGAATCTTGATGGATAATGCTCAAAAAAATGTTTAATTAATTACTTTTTTCGAAGTTTTTGGGTTGTGACTTTTAATGGCTTGGTTGGTTTTCATCTAAAAACCAGCCGCAATCATTGTGACCTGAGCATTCATTGAGGTAATCATAGTCTACAATCTCAGCCATTCCCATTGTTTATAATAAATACTAGTTAAATTATATAAGCAAGTAGTCCTGTCCTTCCAATCATATAATTAATTATATCATGACTAGCTATTGTTTCAGAATATATATATATATATATATAAAGATGGTTAAATTAATATTTTAGTTTAAATTTGTTTTAAGGGTGTTGATTTGAATTCAAAATAGAATTTAATTGCTAAAAAAAATCAGAAGTAAACATGTGAGAGATCATCCGATTTGCTATCATAATTCCTCCTTAAATTAACATTAAAAATAATATTTAAAAAATGCCCTTAGGAAACGACTTTTAATTGGATGGAGTTGCTTGTACTTGACAATTCCTTGGGCGGTTCTCAGAGTTGCTCTTTAGGAGGCTGCAAGATAAAGAGAGATGAGATTCATATAATGGCGAAAAGAAAATTAAAAAGGGAATGCGGTGGCATTTTCATGATGATATCCACTGTGATTGTAATTTATGTTACCATAAGGGTCCTACGAAATAATGTTGTTGGCTGCACCGACGCGATAGAGTGGATATTTTTCCCTTGATGTTAGATGAGTAGAGGTGGACTTGTCTCAAAAAGGTTACATGAATACTGGAGAAAAAAATTTAACATGGTGTCTGAGAGTGCAGTAAACATTAGTTTTCTAGAAGTTAAAAATTGTGAAGATTTCACTGTAACTGTAAAAATAAATTAGTATGAATTATACTAATAAAATTTATATCAGTATACTATATAATTAAGAGAATTGTGGAGGGTATTTTAGTGCACAGAATTTACTGAAATTTTCACTCTTTTCTATTTTTTTAATTAAACAGCTACCACAACTCTTAAACACACCTGCTTCAGCCGTCACTGGATGTCAACGATGATAGTACCTCCACCGTTTCCGTTGAATAACTAGACGGGAAGAGCTTATAACTAAGCACGTAATCAACTGACTAATCATCGGCATTTTCTAAGGCAGAACAGCAGAATTAACATGCGACTTTGCTGAATAAAATGTAAGAAAACATATAGATGCCACAACGGGATGTGAATGACTTCATGATTAGGATAATCAGTTCATTAATTAACTGCTTACTTTCGAATCTTGATGGATAATGCTCAAAAAAATGTTTAATTAATTACTTTTTTCGAAGTTTTTGGGTTGTGACTTTTAATGGCTTGGTTGGTTTTCATCTAAAAACCAGCCGCAATCATTGTGACCTGAGCATTCATTGAGGTAATCATAGTCTACAATCTCAGCCATTCCCATTGTTTATAATAAATACTAGTTAAATTATATAAGCAAGTAGCCCTGTTCTTCTAATCATATAATTAATTGTAACATGATTAGCTATTGTTTCAGAATAAAAAATATGCATAAAGATGGTTGAATTAATATTTTAGTTTAAATTTGTTTCAAGGGTGTTGATTTGAAATCAAAATAGAATTTAATTGCTAAAAAAATATCAGAAGTAAACATGTGAGAGATCATCCGATTTGCTACCATAATTCCTCCTTGAATTAACATTAAAAATAATATTTTAAAAATGCCCTTGGGAAACGACTTCTAATTGGATGGAGTTGCTTGTACTTGACAATTCCTTGATGTTAAATGCCCTTAGGGTCCTAAGAAATAATGTTGTTGGCTGCACCGACGCGATAGAGTGGATATTTTTCCCTTGATGTTAGATGAGTAGAGGTGGACTTGTCTCAAAAAGGTTACATGAATACCAGAGAAAAAAATTTAACATGATGTCCGAGAGTGCAGTAAACATTAATTTTCTAGGAGTTAAAAATTGCGAAGATTTCACTGTAACTGTAAAAATAAATTAGGATGAATTATAACAATAAAATTTATATCAGTATACTATATAATTAAGAGAATTGTGGAAGGTATTTTAGTGGACAGAATTTACCATGATGAAATTTTCACTCTTTTCTATTTTTTTAAATTATTTTTTTATTTAAAAGTTATTGGTACATCACATCTTTTAATGGCTAAAATTAATCATTCACGTTTAAGACAGTTGAACAAAGCTACTCTATTTCATGTGATGTAGTGTATATAAAAATATAATGGTTACATCA